AATAAGCCAATGAACTATAAATCGATGGCTTAATTCTTTCTCACCCCCAACTCTTACCCGCAAAATAGCAAAGAATATCATACAGAGAAGTGGAGAAAATATTATACAAATGCATTCATTGTGAAATATGCCTAGATTTAACAGTCTTTTGATTATGGAACTTGAAAGAAGTAGGAAATTGCTTTGACTATCTTTTTTTGTTGTTGTTAATTCTCACTGGGGGATATTTTCCCATTGATTTTTAGGGAGAGTGGAAGAGAGAGGGAAAGACAGAGAGAAACATCAATGTTCGATTGGTTGCCCTGGCCTGCAACCAAGGTAGGTGCCCTTGACCGGAATTGAACCCGGGACCCTTTGGTCCTCAGGCCGATGCTCTATCCACTGAGCCAAACTGCCTAGGGCCCCTGACTATATTTTTTTTTTTATTGATTGATTTTAGAGAGAGAAGGGAGGGAGTGGGGGAGAGAGGGAGAAAGGGGAAGAGGAAGAGGGGGAGGGAGGAGGAGGAGGAGCGGAAGAGGGAGAGGGGGAAAAAGGGAAAGAGGAAGGGGGGGGGGGGGAGAGAGAGAGAGGGAACGGTTTGTTGTTCCACTTATGTATGCATTAATTGGTTGATTCTTGTTTGTGCCCTGACCGGGGATCAAACCCACAACCTTAGCGTATTGGGACGACGCTCTAACCGACTGAATACCCGGCCAGGGCCTGAAGCTGCTTTGTTTTACAGAAAGTGTTTTTGTAAATGTTCTTCCAGTTCTATCACTGATGCAAGCACTTCTTTAACTTTTCCTTGTGAGAAAACAAAAGCAGATCCAACCTCCAAAAGCCAACTTTTCCTGCCCAGGCGCTGGGGGACCCCGGGACCGCCGGGCCAGCCCGCTACCGAGCAAGTGACCCGACGCCCCGAGGACAACGAGGCGGAGCCCGCCCGGCGCCGGGAGCCAGGAGGCGGCGGCGGCGGCGGCGGCGGCAGCGAGCTCCCCGCGAGGTTTTCCAGGTCCCAAAGCTACGCTGCCCGCACCGGACCTGAGCGCTTCCCTCCAGGACCCGCATCTTCCTCGGGCCGCCCAGCAAAGCCCGGGGAGCCCGCGCCCTAGGCAACCCCTACCTGCAGGGCCAGCCTCTCGGGGCCCGGGCACCGAGCTCATCGGGGCGAGCGCAGCGTCCATAACCCGTTGGTCTCCGCTTCCTAGAGCCCGTCTGCAGCACCGCCCCTTCCTCCACCGTCTCCGCCCCGGCCTGGAGCCTGGGGGGATAAGGTTTCTTCCTTCCCAGCAGAGCTGGGGGGTGGAGTGGGGTGGGGTGGGGTGGGGTGGGGTGCACAGCGCCTCGAGGCGCGACGGAGACACGCAGGCTTAGCCGCCTGGCGCCTGGAGGGACTAACCTGCCTCTGGGAAATGTCAACAGGCGACATCAATCCAGCCCCAATGTTTGCTCCCCCTGACTCGCGTAAAGGGTAAGAAGGTTGTGAGTCTTCCCTTTCCAGGTGTGAACCCTGAGGACTAGTAAGGGCTCCTGATGGCTAAGCAGGGGGCTGGGGGAGCAGAGCCTAGCAGCCATTTCTGCACAGGGGCTCCTCACGCAACCTGCACGTCGTGAGAAGCCTCTAAGGCCCAGCACAGAACTGCCCGCCCGCATCGCCTCTGCCCCCTGAGCCGGCCCTTATAAAGGAGACCCTGGGGTCCTATTTAAACCAGCAGGACTGAGCTTCCCCACCAATCGGAGCTGCGCGCAGCCCTGACCAATCAGGGGCCCGGGTGGGGAAGGCTGTACGTCAGCCGGTCCGGCTGGTTCCCTTGGGGAGCGCGCTTTCCATCAGAGACAGAAGAGTGCGTTTCCTCGGGAGGCCCTGCGGTGGCGCTGCCACATCGGAGCTGCCTTCACAGCCATCCCAACGGTCCAGTGGTTCTCAACCTTCCTAATGCCGCGACCCTTTAATACAGTTCCTCCTGTTGTGGTGACCCCCCAATTTCATTGTTACAAATTGAACATAATTAAAGCATAGTGATTAATCACAAAAACAATATGTAATTAGATATGTGTTTTCCGATGGTCTTAGGCGACTCCTGTGAAAGGGTAGTTAGACCTCCAAAGGGGTCGCGACCCACAGGTTGAGAACCGCTGGTAGCTGTTTGCCAAGGTGAGGATTCCTGCTGACGATCGAATTGGTACTGACCATGGGATGGCAACGTGTAGTTCTTTTCCCAGTGAGTTGCTTATAGGATTTGTAATAATTTATCTTAAACGCTCTGTTTGTATAGTAAACTAGAGGCAACTGCAGGATTTCTAAGTCTGGCTTTTGTAGGTAGAGCTTGTGAAAAGCTGACATAAGTGGAGTCATTTTAAAATAGAGCCAGAGCAGCCATTCCAGATGAGCTGCGTGCACATCCTGCTCCTAGAACCTTTGCAATGTTTGAACTGGGCAGAGTAACCTTTGGAGTGGGCCAAGCAACACTCTTACAAACAACCGGAAAGCTAACAGGAAAGCAGATATTCTGCCCATGAGGACTGATGATTGTGGACATTCTTTAAAATTCTTTTTTTCCCTTATTTTTCTTTTCTTTAAAATTCTTAAAGTGAGTTATACTCTTGCTGGTGGAGTGTTTTGCTTTGATGTTGGTGAAGACAACGAATCACAATAAAGTGAATGCAATGAAATGAAGTATGCTTGTATGTATAGCTAAAGAGTAACACAGCTTGATATCACCAATAGAAAGTCCTCCCTTCTATTTATATAATTATTTCTCTCCCTTTTGTCATAAAAAAAGCTATTGCCTTCACCCTGAATTTGAAACACAATTTGGGTTTTTGCCAGAATTCTATGATTGTAATTCTGTGGTCTCGAATAAATACTTGTTGCCTCTCACTTTGACTTATTATTTTTAAGTTAACAAGCTGTTGATTGGGAATCAGAATCCACTAGTTATTGTCACTAAAAGAACTTATTTGGGAAAAATAAAGAATTGCAACCTGATGCATGCAGACAATGGTGAGCCACATGCACACACTGAACTGGACCAAGATGGAGAAGGAGCTTAAGGGACGAGAACGTTAAGGGGAGGCGCGGTTACATCCATAGGGCTCTGTAGAAACAGAGTTCTGGAGGTGACACGGAGTACACAACTCCTATAAAGCCCTAGCTCCTCCCTCCTGATTGACTGTGTCCAGGTTAAGTCTCTGTCAAAGCTAATTTGGGGAAGGAATCATGTAAAAATTGGGAGCCTGGACTTTGCGGGGGAGGAGGGAAGTCCATAAATTATGGTTTTTCTTGAGTCAAAGCATGTTGTCCTCACTCATAAAATGCCGCCCAGCGTGCAGATCAGTGTGATGGGGCACTCAGTGTTGCCTTTAATTGAGCTCTTCCTTGGGTGGTTGGCTATTGTGTAAATTTGCTTCAATTAACTCTAAGAGTGGATGAAAAGGTGGCCTTATGTTTTGTACCTTCTCCTGGTGGTGTATTTCTCTGACTTTCCAAGTAGTTTGCCTTAACAACTGTGGCCACAGGCTACCCAAAAGATACAGATGGCTTGGCATTCTGGGCTCAGGCAAGTCAACAGCCAGTGGTACTCAAAGAGCATAGAGGACACAGCCGAACTTTCCAAGGGGTTGAAAAGCCGTCAACACTCCCGTTTTCAGAGGCAGTGGAGGTTGTGGGATTTGCTCTTAAACATCTGTTAATAATTTTTCATGTAAATGAGAGATCTATGAAAGATGGTTCTTTGTAAGTTGCTTTCCATCCCTTTTGATCTCACAGTTAGACTTTAGAAAAAAAACACACCCAACAATATCAAGAACAATTTTTATTAAGACCACGATTAGTGAAAGGTTACTGTCTTTTCAAAATATCCCAGAATCTACTATGAGGAGCAAGCTAGGGAATAAACATCAAAGCATAACAGCATACAATGCTCTGACGTGTAAACAACTTCTCATTTATCTTATTAAATTCATCTTTTCTCCAATTTAGGCAAAGATTATAACAAAATATGACATTTGTCATATGAACGGTTCATAATATGGGAGTGGCGTGCTTCTGAATTCTGTTCACGTCACTTTCTAGGCACATTGCATAATACCTACATATTCTGGTTTTGCTCCTTAAGAGGTCACCAGCTAATGGTTCCAATTTTATAAGAGAAACAGACGTGGAAATTTTGTCTTTGTAATTAGTCTTGTCATTAATAGAAGTGTGATTTATTCATATGCTCAATGGGCTACAGAAAAACAGCATATTTTGCATTAATTAAAAATAGAGAAAAAAATAAAGTCAGATCCTTCCAGGCATAAATGTATTTTTCAATTTTTATGGTAAACAAAAATACACTTCTGAGTGAAGGTCTCTCCATATTTCCAAATAAGATAATGTTGGACATACCTTATAATGAATTTTACAGTTGACCTCATTTTGGGAGTAAATGCGGTTGTGAAAACGAAGTTACAGAACTTTCTTTAAAAAAACAACTCACCCCTTAACGCGCACCTCTCCCCGACACTGGTCAGGACAGCCTGGCGCGCTACGGCAGCGCCATCCAGGAACACAGCCTCCCCCTTCCTCTTTAGTTTGAAGCTTTAATGTCAAAATAAGGTCTTACCATAGCCCTTTCACAAAAATAAGGCACCTTTGTGCTGTAAAAACATTAGTTCTTTGCCAAAGGTTGTTATGTGCTTTCATCCGCATCTGCTGTCACCTGCAGCATCTTCTTTAAAGATCAGTTTTTTCTTCGTAGCGACACCAACACGCGGCTCGTTGGCTGTCCAGGTACGGTTTACAGCCCAAGTGTATAACACTGTCAAACAAGAGCTCCACTGTTGTTTCACATGCTGCAAAGTAAGGAAGTGCCATTACCGTGGGGCAATCGCAAAGGATCGCTCTCTCGTCACCCACATCACAAGTTCCCGCACAGTGTCAGGCATGTCCTTTGTGGGCACTTCAACGTGTGCTATGTGAAAGTCCCCCCAAACCTTCGGAAACCAGGAACATGTATCTTTATATACAAAGACTGTTTCAGCCTCTTTACCGTGTACCAGCTTTGTGTTTGCATGCAAATAATCAACCCAATTTTCTGTGCTAGACAAATGAGTCTCTCGCAATAGCACTGAACGATCAGTTCAACACTTTTAATTTTCCTTATTTATTTATTATCTTACTTATGTATTTTTGTTAAACCTGAGGATATTTTTTTCCATTGATTTTTAGAGAGAGTGGAAGGGAGAGGGAGAGACAGAGAGAGAGAAACATCAATGTGAGAGAGACACATCAATTGACTGCCTCCCACACGTGCCCTGCAACCGAGTTATGTGACCTTGACTGGAATTGAACTCAAGACCCTTCAGTCTGCGGGCTGACTCTCTAACCACTGAGCAACCGGCTAGGGCTATTTATTATTATTCTGTATCCTCACCTGAGGATATGTTTATTGATTTTTAAAGAGAGAGGGAGAAACATCAATGTGAGAGAGAAACACTGATTGGTTGCCTCTCGAATGAGTCCCCACTGGAGATCAAACACAAAACCTAGGTATGTGCCCTGACCAGGAATCAAACACTCAACCTTTTGGTGTACACAGGATGAAGCTCCAACCAACTGAGCCATCTAGCCAGGGCTCATTTTCCTTTCATCAGAAAAATATCACTGTTTGAGATGCCTGATAATATTCTTAAGTTTGCATTTCAAGGAAAGCTTTTTAGGTTCAGAAAAAATAAAGGTTAAAAACAGAGAAACCTCAAAACATTTCCTTCTAGCCAATGGCAGCTAAAAACTGATCACACATCATTTAAGATACTTAAAATAAATGGACCCAAGTTTCTTTCTTTGACCAATATTCAAATTTAGCTTGGGAGGGGAGACCTAGGAATCAAAGGTGTTTTTCCTCTGGTAGGGTTAAAAACATTTTTTTAAGACTATAAAAATGATAACGGGCCCTAACTGGTTTGGCTCACTGGATAGAGCGTCGGCCTAGGGACTGAAGGGTCCCAGGTTCGATTCCGGTCAAGGGCATGTACCTTGGTTGTGGGTACATCCCCAGTAGGGGGTGTGCAGGAGGCAGCTGATCGATGTTTCTAACTCTCTATTCCTCTCCTTTCCTCTCTGTAAAAAATCAATAAAATATATTTTAAAAAAATGATAACAGATTTACTTTGGAACACCCAGGTGAGATGATCCTAATATATTATACTTATAACACAGAGTGGCTTTTAGTTGTCCAAATACTTCCAGTTTCAAATATTCACGTTAAGAAATTTTTCATTACAAAATCTTGACATGATCAAAGTTCCGCCAAAGACTGTGCCATTAAGAAACACAACCAACCACAGAAGTAAAAGGTTATGATTATTAAATAAAAGATAGCAAGAAATTTGGTTTCATCATTTAGCTACGTTAGTGTGACCTCAGGTCAGGACACAGGAAATACATCCAGCTATGCTTCAGCTGTACAAGTTTACCTCGGCCGAAAGCATGCAAGGGATTCAGGGTGTTCACTTCCTTAACAGTTAGTAGTAGGGTTTCAGAGTCAGACCTGTGAGGCTACTTGGGGAATACTGTAGTAGACAGAACACAAGTTGTAGAGTCAGAAGCATGTAACTTGGGGCAAGTTTCTTCTTTCTGAACCTCAGTTTCCTTCCTTGAAAATGGGTAAAACTGACCTACTTTTGGATTTTTGTAAACATCAGTGAAAACATGTCGAAAGTATCTAGCACTGTCTGTTATGCAAAGTGTCTAAAGATTTAGTTTCCTTTTGTGCCCCTTCTCATTGTCCTTCTTTGTTTTCAGTGTGTGGTACATTCTCTGGCTTGACAGTAAAGAAATCTCGTCACTGATAGTAATGGTACAGTGATGTGTGTGTACACAAATGTGTCATTTTACCCTTATGACAACTCTGAGAGGGATGTTACCATTCTCATTTATATATGAGAGAGTGGAGCACCTTTTCCCTTAGCTGATTTTTGCCTTGTATCCCTTCACTGTAATAATCATTAGCATGAGTGTGACTATATGCTGAGTCCTGAGTCCTCCCAGCAAACCACTGAACCTGGGGTTGGTTTGGAGAACCCTCCTGACAGATACATATGAAGAGACAGAGTTAAGACTCAAATCTTCCAGAACTTTCTATTCTAAATCCAACCCTACTCTTTATATATATATATATATATACACACACACACACACTTTTTACATTGATTTCAGAGAGGAAGGGAGATGGAGAGAGAGATAGAAAGATCAATGATGAGAGAGAGAATCATTGATCAGATGGAGCCTGCAACCGGGCATGTGCCCTGACCGGGAATCAAACCATGACCTCCTGGTTCATAGGCTGATGCTCAACCACGGAGCCATGCCAGCTAGGCCCAATCCTACTCCTCTTAATTCTCTGGGTCCAGGGTTTGCAAGATCTTGCATGAATTCTTCTCTGCCTCTCAGTCCCTCCTCCCAAGGTTCCCGAACATTTTTGCTTCCATGGCTATAAATCATGTCTGATTACAAAACCACTGAGTTCTCGTCTCGGAAAACTGAAGGGGCTGTGTTACAACAGATAACGTAATGTAGAGTGGAAGATTTCTATTGCTAAATCCTGTACTAAAACATGAAGCATTTAATAAAACTTGGCAAACTGCACTGGCCCCTGTCCCACCGGACCATCCTCACCCTGCACGTGCTGAGCTAGTCCCAGTGTTTTCTGCACCTCTCGGCAGATCTTGGAGAGGCAGTGCTGGAACTCCTCATCACAGTCGTTCTTGCTTTCGCCACAGGTCTCATAGCACCTGTCGTGGTGGTTGCAGCACTTTGTCAGGGAAGGGATGCCAATATTAAGCTGAAAGAGGCATTTGGATGGGTTATTACTGACGAAATTCCAACTCCTCTGCTCAAGTTCTGCATTCAACTATCAAAGAGCAGTCAATGACAATGACTGCTGTATAATTTCTAAAATCTATTTCTGCCTACAAATGTTTTCCATTTTACGTATCTCTCCATGACTCTCACCGCACCCACCCACATTGCTCTGCGATCTTCCTCTCAGCCCTGCCTTAAAGCTTCCTATATGGCAATGTTAGAATATTCACAGATACCTGTGGTAACAAACACAGCTTCCAATTGTCCAAAGCACAAAACATAGTTTTAAAAACATAGAAGTAAAGCTAAGAGCATTAAAATTGTTCTCCAGGGGCGAGGCAAGTATGACTTTCGGATATTCCAAAGTGTTTTGTACCTCCTCTCCCAATAAAATGTACTTTATATGAAATGTCATTGAAAAATTTTAAGCTCCTACAACTCAAATTTTGTTTGTTGTTTTGAGGTTTAATCTTTAATTGTTCACCCAATCCCTAAAAATATTGCTCCTTCGCAGCTATAATTTTCCTTTAACTATTTAAAATTAATTTATATGCAAAACCTTTGTGTCTAGGAATCCACTCTCATAAACATTTTTCCCCATTACACTTGGCTCCGATCCAGCTTCCCCTACCACAAGCACACAGCTATCTCACTCAGCCTAGTTCTAGTACAGAAAATATTATATCTTATCTATACTTTTTCATCCTAAGTAGTCTTACTTCTATATTAAAGCACATTTATACACGAGGAAATATCATTTAAATGGTATTTACATTTCCAAAATTAAAAAATAAAACATGAATTTTACTACATTTAGTTTTGTTAGGACTTAAATGTGTTTTTTAGCTATAAAAGAATATAGTAAACCTGATCACTATTACAACAAGCAAAATTATTTGTGAACCTGAGAACACACTGATGGTCTTGCATTATTAGGAGTATTACAGAGCCTATCATAAGACTTATCAAATAAAAAATAATATTTACATTTACACCAAATAGTGGAGAGCCACATCCATTCGGCGGGGAGGGTTTAAAACCATAACGTGGGACGGGCTTAGATCCTAGAAAAAATATAAATGGTATCATAATTAATTGTCAAATATGATAGAAAATACATACACAAGAAGGTCTACAATGTGCTAGACTCGCCTTGGAAACGCTTCATATTCGGATGCTGACATAGTGAGTATGTCCTTATTCTGAAGAGCTTGAGAATGCTAGTTTGTCTACCTAATTATTTTTTTTTTTGAGAAATTTTAAACATGTTTTTATTGATTTTAGAGAGAGAGGGAGAGGGATAGAGAGATAGAAACATTGATGAGAGAGAAACAGCAATCAGATGCCTTCTGCATGCCCCCTACTGGGGATGGAGCCTGCAACATGGGCATGTGCCCTGACCAGGAATCGAACCGGTGACCTCTTGGTTCATGGGTTGATGCTCAACCACTGAGCCACACTAGACAGGCTTGAGAATTTTTATAAGAGTTTATTTGAGCCAAACTGATGATATATGCCAAGGAGCAAGATCTCCAATGTTTCACTCTACCTAATTACTTTTATTTCTCCTGTAGTGAAATATGTACAAATGTATACTTATACACATTTGTGGTAGTGCACAGAATGTAATTATATTGGTAAACCTATACTATACAAAATATACAAAAGCTTATTCTGGATTTTTGGAGATTTCAGAGGTTATATGCCAGATTGAGTCCATGTGTATGAAAGAAATCCACCCTATTTTCCTGTACATTCTAACATAAATATTTAATCCTCACCTGAGGACATGTTTTTGAGAGAGAGAGAGAGAGAGAGAGAGAGAGAAACATCAGTGTGCAAGGGAACGGAACGTTTGCCTACTGCATGCACCCCAACCTGGGATCAAACCCACAACCTGAATATGTGCCCTACCTGCAAATTGAACCCGTGACCTTTTGGTGCACAGGGAAACGCTCGAACTAACTGAGCCAAACCAGCCAGGGCTGGTGTACAATTTAAAACTTATGAATTGTCGCCCTAGCCGGTTTTGTTCAGTGGATAGAGCATTGGCCTGCAGACTAAAGGCTCTTGGATTCAATTTTGGTCAAAGGTACATACCTCGATCCCTGGCTCTGGTTGGGATGCGTGCAGGAGGCAACCAATCGATGTGTCTCTCTCACATCGATGTCTCTCTCTCTCTCTCTGTCGCTCCCTCCAGTCTCTCTAAAAATGGAAATATATCCTTGGGTGAGAATTAACAAAAAATAAAACGTATGAATTGTTTGTTTCTGGACTTTTCCATTTAATATTATCAGACAGCAGTTGACTGAGATTAACTAAACTGTGGAAAGTGAAGCTGTGGATAAGGTGGTGGTGGTGGGGTCTACTCTACCTTTATACCATTACCAGAGGCCTGGTGCACGGATTTGTGCACTGGTAGGGTCCCTCGGCCTGGCCTGCGGATATCCCCTGAGGAGTCAGGGGTGCCGGATTATGAGAGGGTGCAGGCCAGGCCGAGGGACCCCACTGGTGCACGACTGGGGCTGGGGAGGGACCGCGGGAGGGCTCCAGGGCGTGTCCGGCCCATCTTGCCAAGTCCTGATTGGCCGGACCCCAGCAGCAAGCTAACCTACCAGTCAGAGCGTCTGCCCCCTGGTGGTCAGTGTGCGTCACAGCGACTGGTCGAACGAACGTTGGACAGTTAGTATATTAGGCTTTTATTATATAGGACTAGTGACCCAGTGCACAGATTTGTGCATATCAAAAGGAAATTAATTAGAAGGTGGCTGGTGGGCGGGACTGGGCAAGATGGGCTGGACACGCCCTGGAGCCAATCTCCTGCGGTCCCACCCTGGCCAGCTGTACCTGGAGTGGCACGGTGGCTTGAAAGGTGTCTGTGGAGTGAGCAGGGTCCCTCCAGCAGGTGGGGGTCCCTCGGCCTGGCCTGCGGGGATGGGGCAAAACTGGCTCTCTGACATCCCTGAGGGTTTCTGGAGTGCAAGAGGGCACTCTGCAAAGTTGCTGTCATACAGGGTGTGGAATGCAAATGTAAGTGTGCAGTAAAACAGATTTGGGGCCGACAGTGCCCCAGCAACAATATAACCCGTGGCCGAAGGTGGAATTGCACGGCCCTGTTAGGAATCAGGCTCCCTCCTCTCTGGTTTCAGGGTGTGTCACCTGAGAACCGCCGCTGCAAGTCACTGCAGCTTGGGAGCTCCTGCGTTGTGTGTCTGCCCACTGGAGGTCAGTGTGCGTCATAGCGACCGGTCAGACAGAGGGAGGGACACTTAGCATATTAGCCTTTTATATATATAGATAAGACCTTACAGGACTATACACCTTGCAGGACTATACAGTCTAGCCCAGACTCAGGCCAATCATTTCACAAATATACTCCTTTGCCATCTAAACTTGGTGAACTATATTACTCCAGTTATACTCTCCTTAATAGTACCAATGGTTCAGAAGCAAAGTGAAAAGTAACATTATCATCCATCTTAAATTTTCAAAGGTACTTTATAAATATCTCTCTTCTTATAATATAAAAATCATTTCGACAAACCAAATAGTCACCTACTTTCTCTTTGAATGTTTCCCACAATCGTCCTACAGTATCAAGAAATAGCCTATTCCATTGTGGAATGGCACTGTTAAATTCTGTTTTCTTATAAATTCTACCTGTAAGCACGTCTCTGCCTCTTGGAGAACACAAAACAAGCCAATTCCCTATGAGGCTACCATTTACCTTTATTTCTAAAAATAAAATATATCCAGTTATTACAAACTAGAGGCCTGGTGCACAAAATTCATGCACTGGAGGGGGGTGTCCCTCAGCCTAGCCTGCACCCTCTCCAATCTGGGACCCCTCGGGGGATGTCCCTCTCACAATCTGGGGCTGCTGGCTCCCAACTGCTCGCCTGCCTGCCTGCCTGATTGCCCCTAACCACTCCCCTGCCAGCCTGATCAATGCCTAACTGCTCCCCTGCCGGCCCGATTGCCCCCAACTGCCCTCCCCTACAGACCTGGTCTCCCCCATCTGCTCTCCTCTGCCAGCCATCTTGTGGTGGCCATCTTGTGACCACATGGGGGTGGCCATCTTGTGCGAGGTCATGACGGTCAATTTGCCTATTCCCTCTTTATTATATAGGATACAACATCATAATTGGATACTTGGGAGAAACACAAAGTATTTCACCAACTTTCATTCAACTAACATTTATTACTAGGAGACATAAAGATAAGTTTAGCTTCCAAAATAAAGTGAGGGGGGGGGAAAAGCAACCCTTCTAGAAATCAGCCCAAGTAAATAATCCTCTCAAAGTAATGATCTAAAATTGATTTAAATGTGTTGCTAAGACGCTCATGCTCAAATGAGATGATCAAGCAGAACCTGAAGAAGTGTACAACCTCAGGAAGATAGAAGGCTATAGCCTGCTCCACTGAGTCTGAAGAATCACATGTACAGAGGGAACGGTTATGCTAGATCTAGCAAAGAGGAGGCCAAGGACAAAAGTTGGTCTTATTTTTCCAGCACTGTCCAAGAAGGAGGGCTGTTTCTGGGCCTGGGAGGATGATGGTAGATGCCTGAGGCTAAGTCACTGTGCTCCTTCACCTCCTCCTTTTAGTCCTTCATTCTTAAGAACAACTGTTTATGTTTTGGCTCTCCAATTAAAAGGGCCTATAGATGACAACATACTAACCACATGGATGTCTAATGGGCACTTCAAACTTAAGATGCTCCTAACATTCACCCTCAAACCTGTTCCATTCACAGTTCCTTCTTCTCAAGTAATAGCAACTCCATCCTTCAAGTGCTCAGGGAAAAAACATTAGCCATGTTTGACTCTCTCATGTTCTTCTATCCCACATCCAA